ACCCGGGCCGCGTACAGTAGCGCGCAGCGGCGGCGGGGGCGCGCGGGCCAATTCCAGGAGCCCGCGGCGGCGAGCCGCGCCCTGGCTGATACCGGAAAGGCCTGTGATTGGCCGGCGGCCGCCCCTATGCAAACGAGCTGAGGGAATGGAATTCCTCGGGCCGGGCTTACAGTAAAAGCACGTTCATTTCCAGGCACTCTCATTCATAGAGCCAGCGGGCGCAGGCGGGACGGGCGCCCCGCGGCCGGACCCAGCCAGGGCACCACGCTGCCCGGCCCTGCGCCGGCAGGCACCTCTTCCCGGGGCTCCTGGGGACGCTAGAAGAAAATCAACCTCCGCTGCTTCTCCTTGACCTGCGTTGGAGCTTCGATTTTTTTTTTTTTTTTTTTTTTTTTTTTTCTCTTGAATGAACTGGTTTCTCGGCTGGATGGTTCAACTTCTCTCCTGGCCGTGAACTTTTCCCCGGTTGTTTCCTTTGACAACTGCAGGAGAAAGTGCGCTGTGCTCTGAGGCGAGCCGCGAAGTTGCCTTGCGTGGCAGTGTGCGTGGGAGTGTGTGCGTGGGTAACTCGAGCCGCGGGTTCTGTTTCCGTCTGCGCTGCGGTGCCTCCTCCCAAGGCCCGCTCCACCTGCTGCGGTTACGCGGTGATCGCGGGTACTGGCGCGACCCGGCATTTAGCCCGCCGGCACTGGGGCGACGTTGGAAGATCGTCTCAGTCGGGCTGACTCACGGAGTCGATGTAGACAGTGGCTGGCTTCAGAAGAGTGCGTGTCTGCGTGCGTGTGACTCGGCTACTGCTCAACTCCCACCAAACCACAGGATCAGCCACAAACTTAACCAACATCCCCAAGTCCGAGTTCTCAGATGTGGAGAGCTGTACCCTGAGTGTCATCGACTTGGACTTTTTTTTTTTTTAAGATTAGCTTTTCTTTGAAAAGCTGAATTTTCTGAACTGAGCGTTTTGCAAGAACTTATTGAGAGACCATGCATGACAAGTATTTCTAGCCCAGCCCTTCTCCAACTACTGAAGCTGATTTTCAAGGCTACTTAAAAAAAAAAAAAATCTGCAGCCAACATTAATGGATTTCTGTTGTGTTTAAATTCTCTACAGATTGTACTGTAAATATTTTATGAAGTAGAGCATATGTATATATATTTATATATGTGTATATATATGCATATACATTAGTAGCACGGCCTTTGGAAGTCGCAGTTCTTACTTTTGAGGACGGACTGCAGTTTTGCATAGTAGAAGTGGCGTTGTATGTGGAAGACACTCGTGTATTTTGTGTTGTGTCGGGACTTTAGACAAAACTCACCTGGAACAAACTGACAGGCAATTAACTACTGGAACTTCCAAATTATGTGTTTGCTGGTTCTTTTGCTCTCTGCGTAAATATTTTAGGAAGTGTATGGGAATTTTACCTCCGGGAACTTTTGTTAACAGCCAAAGATTGAACTTAAACTCTCAAAGCAGGACTCAGAAGATAGTGTCTCTTGGCGTTTGACTTTGGATTCTGGTCGCCCACTTTTTAAAGCACTAAGCTGTCGGTTGCTAGGAGCCCTGCCGGATCTGAGGCAGATCAGCATAACTGGGACTGTCCCCCTCCTGGACAGTTGGTAACTTAGTCAGCCCCCTCCCCCAACATCCCCGCAGCAATAAAGGTCCCTGAACTTGTATGTTGGTCTCTCGGGAGCTGCTCGCTGAAGATCCGCGCCCCCGTCGCCGCCTGGTAGGAGCTGTCTGCAGGGTCCTAACTCAATCGGCTTGTTGTGATGCGTATCCCCGTAGATGCCAGCACGAGCCGCCGCTTCACGCCGCCTTCCACCGCGCTGAGCCCCGGCAAGATGAGCGAGGCGCTGCCGCTGGGCGCCCCGGACGCCGGCGCCGCCCTGGCCGGCAAGCTGAGGAGTGGCGACCGCAGCATGGTGGAGGTGCTGGCCGACCACGCGGGCGAACTGGTGCGCACCGACAGCCCCAACTTCCTCTGCTCGGTGCTACCCACGCACTGGCGCTGCAACAAGACCCTGCCCATCGCTTTCAAGGTACTCGGCTCGGAGCGGGTGGCGGGAGGACAGGCAGAGGCCGGCGGAGGCCGAGGCGGTCCGGGAGGCCAGCGGCCAGGCAGGCGGGGCTGGGTTCTAGAAAGGGGCCGGCCCCTAGTCCACCCCCAGCGCTCGGGAGACTGGGGATGCTGCGTTGCCGTGGAGACCCTCGAGGGGACCCGCCTCAGCCTACCCCGGCTGCCTTCCTGGAGGGCTGGAAAAATCAGGATGCCCCCAAATACGTCGACCGAGGGCCGGTCGGGACCTCCCTGGCAGGGGTCCTTAGTTTGATTCAAAGTAGGAAAAGTTCTAACCCGTCAGGGAAGAGCCTGTCTGCTCCTACGCTTCACTCCCCCACCTCTGGCTTAGCACCCAAATCATTCTGCCTCCCTTCAATGGAGCATCAGGAAATAAAATCGAAATAATGTCATACCTTCGGGTCAGTGAAAACAGACTGACAAGGAAAACTGTCAGAGCTTCCCACCCCCACCCGGTCTTTAACAGCTCCATAGGCATCAGCATGTCCAAAGTCCAGTGCGGGCGTAGTTAAGTTTGCAAAAGTTTTCTGAAGAGTTTTTGCAAGCTTCTAGCCTGCTCTTGCCAAAAGCCGCAAGTAGCGAATCCTGTTTCTTTTCCTGGAACCCTGCTATCGCCGGCTCACCTAGTTTAAGCCCAGCCCGGGGCAGCGAAAGGTGACGAGGCTGTCTTTCCCAAACCGGGGGTCTAAACCGCCCGCATTGCTGTTTGAAGAGGGGGCCGCGTGGACCAGCTCCAGCGGAGCAGCTCTAAGAGGTCTTCTTCATTCGCCTTCACCCCTCATCTTGCCCCAGCTTTGAGCTGCCTTTAAAGACCTTGGCCTTCAACGGGGATATATAAACAACCCCGGGCGTTTTTTAAACAACCACCCCACTACGCTGGCAGCAGACAGCAGACATTTAATTTCGGCGGTGGGGATTCCGTCCTTCGGTCCTGGGTGGGTTTAAGAAGGGTCGGCTTCTTAAGTACGATCAGCATAGTCATTTCCCGTTCATTTAAAGGGCTAAGCCAGGCAGGTGAAAATAAAAACCTAAAGATCGGCTATTCTTTTGTTGTTGTTGTTGTTGTTGTTTTGAATCTGGTTAAAGAATTGTCTCCTTTAAGGGGAGATTAATTTAGTGTAAGCTTTTTATGGTTCCAGGCCTCAGTTCTCAGTTGGAACTTGCTCTAGTTACAATGAATAATGTTCACTCTTTTTTAAAGGAGTCGTGTTCTTTATTTTTAAGCTTTATGCACCTTCCAAACTTCAATGATGATTTCTAAAACAAAACAAAATGTGCAGTTGGCTACGACTCTAGAAGTGCCTTCTGTTCCTCTCGGGTTTCTGAAAGCAAGAGTTTTTTTTTGGGGGGGTGGGGGGTTGGAAATAAGGATAAGGTGGGCCAGCCACTGGATCTGTCCCTTCCCTTCCTCTATTTATGTAGATTTGGGTTGGAACCCATCTCAATTTTAAATCATTCTAATCCTTTTACATAAACAGACTCAGCCTGCTGAAAGCACTGAGTCCCCTCACTGAGAGGGGACCTGACATCACTGGGCCCTGGAGTCAGTTTCAGATAAGAGCAGAGGGAAGGAGGCAGGCGGATAATCAACCAAAAGGTCATTTACACTCTGGGTGCCCCAGACGCCGCACCAAGGGACTGAGTTCTAAGGGATCTGAGGCTTCCTTTGGGGTAATCAGGAGCTCTTCTGCATCTACCCTCCTCTGCCAGGAAACTCATACCCCAAAACACTACTAAGTGGTTAATAAGGAATCTTCAAGATTGAAGCAATGTAGTTTCTTAAGCCACCAGATAAAACTTTATTTTCTTCTAAAAGAATCTTTAAAAACCGTATAAATTGCTCTTAGGAAACATCGGGGAATTCTTTTTAGCAGACATCTTAATAGCCGTAGAGATTTCCTTTGAAAAATGACTTTCGACTATTTGCTCTATTTTTAAAATCTAATTTGCTTTACTGAGTGATGGTTTGTAGGCTACTAAAAGATCAAGGTTTAGATCTCTTGAAAAAAAAGTACAAGTGAGTCTTGAGAACATTTGGGGGAAAGGAAAGGACAGCAATCAGACCGCTTGATTAATATCTGTCACCACTTCGTTCCCCACAAAGAGAGGCCTCTTCCTGAAGGAAACCTGCTCATTGCATAACTGAAAGAGCAGATGAAATTTTCAGGGAGGGAGTAAACAGAGAGGTTGGGGATAAAAGCAAACTAAACTTCCAACTTGACTGTGTTCAGGTTGATTCACTATCTCCCGGGCTCCATTCCGCACTGTCTGCCCACCCACCTCCCCAGCAATTTCTACAGAAATTTTCACTTTAAAATTTGGATTTCAAATAAGTCTTAGACAATCTCTTTAAGAAGTTAATCGGTAAAGAATTACTGTATTCCCTTTAATAAGGAGGAAAAAATGTGAAACGATGATGAAGTCTGATATTGATGAAAAGAGCGTTTAAGTCATTCTTTAAGAAGAGTCTTCTGAAATTCTACGTGTAAATCCTCTGCTTTGATCTGGGAAACTAAAGAGAGGTTTAAAAGTACGAATTTTTTTTCAAAAATAGATTTAAATCATCCTGATTGCTTATTCCGAACCCCAAACTGTACTCACTCCCTTCTCCCATGGAACACCTTCACTTTTTTAGGGCAGGAGAGATGTATATTTTACTATTCAAAAAAATCTTTAACTTGCTACATGTGACCCATTATTTACAGAAGCAGCCTAAACAGCTGATTGGATGATTTAGGATATATTTTGTAACATTGTAATATTACAATTTGTTTAGGCCCTGGTACACCAGAATCCCTAGGCATAAAATAAACATGCCTTCAGCAGGTTCAGAGCCTTGGGTGCCGATAGTGATGTTCCGTTCATAAGAAAGAAATAAGTCCTGTTTCTGTCGGCGAGAGCACGGTCCCAAGCTGTGCGTTAAATGTCATCTCGGCTGATTTCTAAGTTCCACGCCACGGCTTTCTTTGAAACACTGGAAAATTAAGGGATTTGAATTCAATGAATTGTAACTGTAATTTCAGCCTAATTAGAGCTGGTTCGAATGCCAGTTTGAACTGTGAACAGGCTAGCCAAGAGCAGTGTGGGTAGGTCCATGTATAGGAGGGTTGATATTTTGCCCAACTTCCTGATACTTTAAAAACAGAGAAGTAAAACAAAATATGAGATACCCTTTGGCCAACAAGTCCCTTCTTGCCTGTTTGGTCTGAGCTAAAATGTAAATGTTTGTGTTTCCTCACCTTTGTTTATAGCTTTTCATTCCAGTCGCTTTTTTTTTTTTTTTCCTGTTTAAAGTTAAATTTTTTTATTCTCTTCGTATTGCCTGTCAACGACAAAATCTATCGAATTAGGAGATGTGTTAGTTTTGAATTTAAAAACACTTTTTTTTACCTAGTCTAAGTATGCTTGTTAATAATTAGATGATATACATTACATTATCTAAATAAATAGAATTTTCCTGGATTTAATATTCTTCTTACACACACACACATACACACACACACACACATACACACACACACACACACACACACACACACACACACACGACCCTCCAAGATCAATAAAGGGCCAAGTAAATGATGATTGAGCACCCAAATATCTTTGATTATTATCCTGCTGCATTTTATTTTTTAAGAAGGGAGGGATAAGAGTTAAACTCCTAATATTTGAGTCGCAAATTTCAGCGTCTACAATCCTTTCTTGTTTAGCCACCCTGATCATTTTTGCTCTCTATTTGTTTCTGCTTGGTGAAAGTCTCGTGAACTTGCCAAATTACTGCAGAAGAGTTTTGGAAAGGTGAGAGAGGCACAGGCAGGGAGCACTGTGAGAGAAGCCAGTAGGAGGAAGGTGATTTAGAGTATGTTTTGGTAGTTACAAAACAGGAGTTATTTTTTGTAACCTCTTTCCAGAGTCTGTCCCAACCATGAGTGGTTCAGGTTGATCCAGTCCCTGTGTACTTACAGAATGTTAAATTAAAATAGAGAAGCCTGGCCATCGCAGAGAGATGGGGATGAGGAAGTAAAAATATGTGTTCAAGGAGGAGGGCATTTCAACACTGAGCTAATTTTACAGAGGGAAGTGAAAATAGTGAAAAAAAAAAAAGTGGAAAAATTTTTTAAAAACTGAATTTTTAAAAGCAGAATAAAGCAAGCACATTTTGTGGAAATAAAAAAAATGGTAACAATAAATAACTGATGGGGAGATTTATTTCAGTGATGTTTTTTGAAACAAAAGGCAACTGTCATATTACTGCTCTTAATTAAATAGCAACAAACACACTTATAATGAGCACTAAATACATAATTAGAGAGTGCTTGGGGAATAAATAGCTGTGTTTTTAAATCTCCCTTATAGAAAACATGTCCAACAATTGGATGGGAAGGATTAGAAAGAAAGATAAAAGGCCAGACCTTGTTTAACAGTGCAAGTTGGCTACAATAGAGGAAGAAAACTACCTATTTTGTGAGAGTCAGTTCTCCTGGTGTGGTCTTGGGGGCTCAAGTATGTCTCCTTCTCACAGCAAGGTGGTTCATTTTCCGTGATACGCCTTAGAACCCAAGAAGTAAAGCATCATAATGAGTAAAAACAATAGACGGGTGACATGGGGAAGGGATGATGCCTAAGCCGCGACAAAGATGAGAATTTTGAGAAACACGGCTTTGCCACCATGCAAGTCGATCCTATTTACAGACAGAACAAGAGGACTAGAAATATAGGGAGTAG